GAGTGAAGTCGAGTATTTATTCCTCTGGTCCCCTCCCGAAGGGTTGCCTCACACTGGCCATGATCTTTGACCAAAGTTCACTACTTATTTCAAGGAAATCCTTTCCTTACAATTTCTTTCTTCCAGGTTCTAGTAATCACTCCCTCTTTTTGTCCTCTCATACTTAGGGGTAGAGATTGGGTCTGTTATTTCTAGTCCCAGGATACTACTCTATCATTTGTGGTTTCCCTATGCCCTGACATCTTTGTAAATTGCCCTTGTTATACCTTCCTAGAATTATTCTAAATTGAGAGTGATGTTTACTCCTGGGACCCTGACTGATAAATTAATTGGTACCAGAGATGGGCCCAGGAAATACACACACAAAAGGATCCTTCAATGACTGAATTATAAAATTAAGGCCCAAACCATAATACATTTCTTAAACTATAACAATTGTTGATTAAACAAGACCTTTTAAGAATTTTTGGAGGCTTGGATAACTCATCATACACAAGTCTAAGTTTACTGAGTCTTAATGCTTTCTTCCGTTTCATCTTCTTTTTCTTGGGACAAACAACATAAGTAATGCCAGCCTGTCTAGATGCTTCAATGAGAGAGAGAGACAGGCCTCTCGAACTGCATCTGCTCTGCATGTTGTCTAAGATAGTATCTATATTTTCTTTCACAGAGACGGGTTCCTCAGTTTCATTTTGCTCAGCCATCCAGTGCTCCAACTCCTTTGTTTTCTGAAACATCACCTCTTTCATATTGCTTTGCATGTCATCCTTAATCTCTAATGGAGTTATGGTTTCCTTCTTCAATTCAACTGCAGATTTTACTCTCTTATTTATAAGGAGACAAAGAAACAGAAAATATCAATTTAGTTGCTGTACATTTAAAATTAATTCAGTTACAATTGCTATTAATGTAATTTGGTCACTATTGAAAAATTTAAAATCATCTATTCTTGATGTTTTTCAAAAGTGAGCTTATAAGTTAACAGTGGGTTAGTTAAAGCAAAGTGCAATAATTTGGTCACATGACATTGCATTAGCTACATAAAAGTAACACCATAAAGTAGATATGAATTAATTGTGATTTTATACATTCTTAATTAAAAATGAATGCTCTTTACATATCCAAATAAAATGCGTGCTCTACTTCTAGTTTAATGCAAAAACAAGTGGTAGAATGGGCAAAAATTATTAAAATGCCTTACCTTATAAGATCAATTTGTGGGACTTCCCTGGTGGCACAATGGTTAAGAATCCGCCTGCCAATGCAGGGGACGTGGCTTAGAGCCCTGGTCCGGAAAGATCCCACATGCTGCGGAGCAACTAAGCCCGTGCACCACAACTACTGAGCCTGTGCTCTAGAGCCCACAAGCCACAACTACTGAGCCCATGTGCCACAACTACTGAAGCCTGTGTGCCTAGAGCCCGTGCTCCACAACAAGAGAAGCCACCGCAATAAGAAGCCTGTGCACCACAACAAAGAGTAGCCCCCGCTCACTGCAACTAGAGAAAGCCTGCACACAGCAATGAAGACCCAATGCAGCCAAAAATAAATAAATAAATAAAATCAATTTGTAAATCTATTTTCAAAAGCACCTTAACAATATTGAATTTCTATATATAGTATTCATTATTTTCAATTCAATACTTACAGGCTTAAATAACAGAATTTCAGCCTAATATTCATTTTATATAATCATTAGAGAACCAACTTAATTTTTAATAATAATATTAATATAACACACTAATAAATAATTTACAAGAATTATGCATTAGTAACTAATAAAAGAGAAAGCAGTTCCAATCCTTTGATACAGCATTTCTTGCCTTTTGAGCTATTGTCACTAAATTAACTGCATTTAACTTTGCTAGTAAATAATAATTTGTTACAGAAATATTTTTCTTTATAGTGAATATAGGCCCAAATTCCAAATATAACAATTCCATACAAGCTGGTTATATACTTTAAGATGTACTAAAGTGCAATAGGGATATTGACCCTCTCTGTGACTTACTATATATACTTCCCCCATCTCAAGAAATTGTATTCAACTCAATATGTAATTAGAATAGAGAATAGAGAATTACAGACTATAGAATATATGTATGTATATGTATATATCAAGAAAAATAAACACATATGTATGTACCAAGAAAAAGTAGAACAGCCTGACAAAAAGTAGAATGTAAGATTTTCATATTCCCCACTTGCTGACTAGCTATGAATTATGCAGCTCTGTAGAACACTTAAGAAGGAATTACTGGCAGAATCTATAACTATAAAGCAGAACTACCAGGTAGGTTTGGGTTTTTTGTTTGTTTTCCAGCTTTACTGAGATATTATTGACATATAACATATATAAACTTAAGGTATGCTGTGTAATGATATGATAAACATATATACTGTGAAATGATTACCACGATAAGGTTAGTTAACACCCCAATCCCCTCATATAATTACCATTCTTTTTGTGTGGCGATAACATTTAAGATCTACTCTTTTAACAACTTTCAAGTATATAATATAGTATTGTTAATTATAGTAACCATGCTATACCTTAGAGCCCCAGAATTTATCTTATAAATGAAGGTTTACACCCGTTGACAAACATCTCCCCATTCCTCTTCTCCTGCCCCAGCCCTTGCAACCACAAGTCTACTCTATGTTTCTATAAGTTATGCTTTTTAGATTCCACATATAAGTAAGAACAGTATTTATCATTATACTTTTTATTATGTAAGTTTCAGGTGTATAACACTCTCATTCAACATCTGTATATACTACAAAGTGACCACCCCCAAAGTCTACCATCCATCACCATAAAACTGACCCCCTTCACCCCTTTTCCTCACCCCCCAAGCCCCCTTCTCCTCTGGTAACAACAATCTCTTCTCTGTATCTATGAGTTTCTTTTGATTTGTTTATTTATTTATTTTGGTTTTGTTTCATGTTAAATTCCACACATTAGTGAAATAATATGACATTTTTCTTTTTCCTTCTGACTTATTTCACTTAGAATAATACCCTCAAAGTCCATCTATGTTGTCACAAGTGACAAGATTTCATTCTTTTTATGAATGAGTAGTAGTCCATTGTGTGTGTGCACGTATATGTATAAGACACACACACACACACACACACATACCACTATGTATGTATGTGTGTGTGTGTGTGTGTGTGTGTGTGTGTGTATATATATATATATATATATATATATATATATATATGTGCCACATCTTTATTCATTCATCCATGGATGCACACTTAGGTTGTTTCCATATTTCAGCAATTATAAATAATGTTACAATGAACATAGGAGTGCATATATCTTTTCCAATTATTGTTTTCATATTCTTTGGATAAACACCCAGAAGTGGAATACCCAGATCACATGATAATTCTATTCTTAATTTTTTGAGGAACCTCCATACTGTTCTCCACAGTGGCTGCACCAATTTACAATCTCACTAACAGTGTAAGAAGGTTCCCTTTTCTCCACATCCTCTCCAATACTTGTTATTTCTTGCCTTCTGGATAATAGCCATTCTAACAGGTGTGAGGTAATAGCTCACTGGTTTTGATTTGCATTTCCCTAATAATTAGTGATGTTGAACATATTTTCATGTGCCTGTTGGGCTACCTGTATATCTTCTTTGGAAAAATGTCTATTAAGATCCTCTGCCCAGGGCTTCCCTGGTGGCGCAGTGGTTGAGAGTCTGCCTGCCGAATCAGGGGACACGGGTTCGTGTCCCAATTCGGGAAGATCTCACATGCCGCGGAGCAGCTAGGCCTGTGAGCCATGGCTGCTGAGTCTGCGCGTCAGGAGCCTGTGCTCCGCAATGGGAGAGGCCAGAACAGTGAGAGGCCTGCGTACCGCCAAAAAAAAAAAAAACCAGACACAGAGACCAACGGAACAGAATCAGAATCTCAGAAATTATCCCATGCATATATAGTCAACTAATATTTGACAAGGGAGCCAACAATACTCAATGGTGAAAGTATAGGTTCTTCAATAAACTGTCCTGGGAAAATTGAATATTCACATGCTAAAGAATGAAATTGGACTCCTATCTTACACTACACACAAAAATTAACTCAAAATGAATTAAAAACTTAAATGTAAGACCTGAAACTGTAAAACTAGAAGAAACCACAGGGAGAAGTTCCTCGATGTTGGTCTTGGTGATGATTTTTTGGATATGACACCAAAAGCACAAGCAACAAAAGCAAAAATAAACAAGTGGGACTACATCAAACTTAAAAGCCACTGCACAGCAAAATAAACAATCTGCAGAATGAAAAGGCAACCTACGAAATAGGAGAAAATATTTACAAACCATCTATCTCATAAGGAGTTGATTCCAAAATATGTAAGAAACTCTTCTAACTCAATAGCAAGAGAAACAAACAATTCAATTTAAAAATGGGCAAAGAAACTCAGTAGAGATTTTTCCCAAGAAGATATGCAAATGGCCAACTGGTTCATGAAAAGGTGCTCAATGTCGCTAATTATCAGGGAAATGCAAGTAAAAATCACAGTGAGATATCACCTCACACCTGTTAGAATAGCTATTATCAAAAAGACAAGGAAAAAAAAAGACAAGAGACATCAAGTGTTGGTGAGGCTGTGTTGGAAGTGTGAGTTCAAGTGTTGGAACCCTTGTACACTGCTGCAGGAAATGTAAATTGGTACAGCCACTATGGAAACAGCATGGAGACTCCTCAAAAAATTAAAAATAGAACTACCATATGATCCAGCAATCCCACTTCTGGGTATATAGCCAAAGGAAATGAAATCAGGATCTTGAAGAGATATCCACACTCCCATTTTCATAGCCACAGCATTCACGATAGCCAAGATATGGAAACAATCTACCTATCAACAGATGAATGAATAAAGAAAATGTAATATAGATATAGATACAGATATAGATATACACACACAATAGAATGTCATTCAGCCATAAAAAAGAAGGAAATCCTGCCACTGGCAATGACACGGATGGACCTTGAGGACATTCTGCTAAATGAAATAAGTCAGATACAGAAAGAGAAATACTGTATGACCTCACTTATATGTAGAATCTAAAAACAAACAAACAACAACAAAAAAACCCTCATAGGGCTTCCCTGGTGGCGCAGTGCTTGAGAGTCCGCCTGCCGATGCAGGAGACGCGGGTTCGTGCCCCGTTTCGGGAAGATCCCACATGCCGCGGAGCGGCTGGGCCCGTGAGCCATGGCCACTGAGCCTGCGCGTCCGGAGCCTGTGCTCCGCAAATGGGAGAGGCCACGACAGTGAGAGGCCCGCATAACGCAAGAAAAAAAAAAAAAAAAACCCTCATAGATACAGAGAACAGATTCATGGTTGCCAGAGGCAGGGAGTAGGAGATGGGCGAACTGGGTGTGGTGGTCAAAAGGTACAAACTTTTAGTTATAAAATAAATAAGTCCTGGGGATGATTTAATGTGCAGCATGGTGATTACAGTTAAAATACCGTATTGTATATTTGAAAGTTGCTAAGAAAGTAGCTCTTAGAAGTTCTCAGCACAAGAAAAATGGTGTAAATATGTGGGATGATGGATGTTAACTAGACTTACTGTGATGATCATTTCACAATATACACAGGTACCAAATAATTATGTGGTACACCTGAAACTAATATAATGTTATATATTAATTATATGTCAATAGAAAAATCTTAAGGATGGTGTCAGTGTGCAGGGATACAAGACAGAACAATCAAAAAGTTGGTAAGAAAGAAGAATGCCAGAAATGCAATAGGAGGCAGGCTAAAGTTAAGCAGGTTAAAAGCAAGTTAGAAGCAAGTAACATGGAGAATCAAGGAAGCTGAGTGTCAGATTTCAGAGAGAAAAACAAAAGCTGGGAGCTATTTGCCAATGCCACTAAATGTTAAGATCAGCACACAAAAACGCTTATGGATTCTTGTTGCAGAGGAAAGTCCATTGCGTTTGGTAAGAGAAGGTGTGGGTTTAAGTACTAGCTCTGCCACTTATCACTTTCTGACCTTTGCTTTTTCATTTATAAAACAAGGATAGTATCTGTCTCATCTTCCCTCTTATCAGGATATTGTGTAGCTCAAGACCAAACTGGAATAGAGTCCATGAAAATGCATTAACACTGTGAGCCCAATGCAAGTGTAGATCAATATTATAAGTGACTTGATTTATAATATACCAAGTAAAGTCAAAGTATGAATATGAGACACTTCCAAGAGATGTTGAAAATCTTCAATTGGCACTATGAACAACAATCTTACAGGGGCCACCAAATACACAGGTGAATCCAAAATTTCAGCCAACTCTGGATGAATCAAGTGATCACACTATTTCAGGAAAGCCAACAAAAAGCATAGGTGGTGATTATTACTAGAAATGTAAACATTTCTTTTGAATAACAAAAACTGAAAAATTATCATACCTTTAATTGTGGAGATTGCATGCTGAAACATTTTTGGATATTTTCAAATGAGGCTGATTTTCTTAGGAAAAAAATCTGTGAAATAATCAAATGACAAATAAACACTGACTCCAGACACTATTTGGTAAACTAAAATATCATATGACAATCGGCTAATAATAACTGTTTAAGTAAATTAATGAAATGCAGAAACACTAATTAAAATACAGGTTCTTACTGATTTTGTAATCACTGACTTCACAGATGGGAGCAGAGCTTAAAATCCATCAATTAATTTTGAAAAGTGTATAATAATGGAAGCTATCTTATTTTTTTAATTCAACATATATAACAAACACTAAAGTTTCCAGAAAGTAGCACAGGTGTGTGTAAATGTGCCATAGATATGCTGGGCCATTAATCCTCTTAGCCCTGGGGCTGCACTAGTGGGACCTGGAGTGGCTACTGTTCCTCCTACTTTTCAGTGGCTACTGAACAGTCTCCTTTAAATCATGAGCAACCTCAACCTTTTACCCCATAAGGCCACACAAATATTATTACTTGCTATGAGAACTATTATATTAAAAGAGTTGTGAAGTACTAACATACCAAATAGAGTAGAAAGTACAAAAAAAAGGACATATTTCATGTATGATGGTGGAAACAGACATAAAGAAGTAACCATAATCCAAAGCAGCTGTAACAATGACTGTGAAGATAGCATGAATCAGGTGTAAAGAGAGCACAGGAGAGATGGAGGTCAATTCAGAATGGAAAGGAACCTGGATTGACCAGCTTGAAGAGGCAGCATTAGGGCTGGCCTGTAAAAGGTAGTGACATTTCCATAAACTGAGAAGGGGTTGAGAACATCCCAGGCCAACGGAATAGCCTGAACAAGCACAGAGAAGTGTCAAAGTGCTGGAATTTTAGTCCCCAAGGACTCTGGTGCAGGCAGAGTACAGGGTACCTGGGGGTTACATGGAAGCAGAAGCATAATGGGAGGTAAGATAGAAAATATAGTCAAGGCCAGGTTATGAGGCTTAGTTAAGCACTCTGACTCTGATAGGTGGAGTTGTTCAGTTTGTTGAGATTGAGTGTTGTAATTACACCTGTGTTTCAAGAACATTGCAGGGGACAATAGGGAGGATAGATTAGAAACAGCCGTTAAAAACAGTAATATCTGACAGGTAGGTATAAGTAATGCTACTAGAGTAGTCTATGCATTCCAAACTAGAAAGTGTCATTTGTTGGTTCAATTATGTTTTTAAGTGATGGTCACTGTTCTAGGTGCTGTGGATAAAACAAGAATGATATGACCCCCATATCACTCAGACTAATGAAAAATAAAAAGATAAAACATATATGAGGACAAATATTTAATAAGCAATAATGATATATGTTAAAGACAGCAAAAGTGATCTATATTAAATAGAAATATTACTCCAAAAATAAGTATCACCTGGCTGTATGGGGCATACGGAAGGCAGCACAGACACATATTAAACCTAGTGTAACTGACCAGAATGGGGATTTGACTTGTCCTAGGTCAGTAAGGCTCTCTACTATGTGACACTCAGCATCCCAAGATATCACCAAGGGGAGTAAGGGCTGAAGGCCTTAAGGAAAGAAAAATAAAACCCTTTTTTGTTTGTCCCTCATAAAGTTCAAGATATTTATTAAACCACTAATATAAATTTCATACCTTTCTTCTTCCCTCAGTTGCTATCTCTTTTCTTTCCAATTGTGTTTATTAATTAGTTTATTTAGATACACTGTAGGCATAATAACATCATGGGCATGAGTCCAATCACCATTTAGAGAATTCAGTTTTACTCTGTTTCATAGCCATAAACAATTCCCCCCCTGCATTTGGTCAAAAGATTCATAAACATGTTCCTTTGATCATTTAAGACCTGGGCAATCAGTGATAAATGAGTGCAAACCCAGACATTTTAGGAATTTTAGGAAAACTCACAGCAGATATCCTGCTATTGATTAGTAAATAACATCTTCTGAGTGTCATAAAGACCACAGATTTGAAAGAGGAAACATGTCCTCTGCAAAGACACTAGTGAATATTCTGAGGCATTTCCCAGAATGAGGAAGCATCAAGAAATTATTTCTGAAATCGCTAGAAATAATATCTGAACTGTAGTCACATAAAGCCACCAACTCATAATTTAGAATAAAAATTATACTTACCCTAGAACTTCTCCTATGCTGATTTAAAGTAATGACATTTTCCTTGCTTTCAGATGTAAATTTCTCAAATAAAATTCTGCTTGCTTGCACACTCTGTGATAAAAAAAAGATAACAGTTTTAAGCTATATAGTGGAATACTTTTAAAAGCCTATGATTACTGTTGCTTCATAGTATAACATTACCAAAAGAGCAATGTACAGGAAAGGTAGAATTCTAGAAAACACCAGAGATGCATCAAAGTCTGGCTGCAGACTAAGTATTTGGCCAAAACCCACAGTTTGGCTTCGGCATTGGACTTTAGCCAAATAGATACTTCTACATTATTTCTGACATCCCTGGTCTTAGGAGCAATCAATGATCCTGTGACCTCATAGGTTGGCACTGAATCTCTTCAGTATATCAACATCAGTATTATGAACAAAACATATCATTTGGAGTTACTGTTAATATGAAACTATTCACTGACAAATACAAGTAAGCATTCTAAATATTAATTGGAATGAAAATTTCCTTAAATGCTTTATACTTTTAACTCAATTAAATTATAGAAATATTTATTGTTGTAAGGGTGAATTGCTACAATAATTATGATTATTATTAAATGTGGCACTTCTCTATCTTGTAATCAGAGATTTGGATATATAGAAACAACTATAAGACCTAAGTTTCATAGCCTGGTGGATACATGATGAATAAAATCCTTCTACTGCTTTGTTTGCTGAAATTTTTAGGTCTCAACTAACATTTCAAAAATTTTAAATATTTATTCAATAGAAAATCAACTTTTAAAAGTATCATGTAGGGACTTCCTTTGCGGTCCAGGTGTTAAGACTCGGCGCTCCCAATGCAGGGGGCCTGGGTTCGATCCCTGGTGGGAGAACTATGATCCCACATACGGCAACTAAGCCCGTGCACTGCAACTAGAGAAGCCCGTGCGCCACAGAGCCTGCATGCCGCAACAAAGACCCAGCGCAGCCAAAAAAATAAATGAATAAATAAATTTTTAAAAAGAGTATCACGCAGTTATCACTGAGAATGGAACAGATATGCAGAAGGCTATGGGTAATTTAGAAATCAACAGCATTGAATTTTTGTTCATCCTCTCTGTTGTATTTATGGAAAGTAATTATAGCACAATGTAAAAGAATTACTGGACATTGCAGAAAGATACCTGGTCACTTTCATCATTACTCTTCAAAGACAAACTATGTGACACACAAGAGATTTTGGAACTATTTTACCATATGCTTGCACTAAATATTCAAATATGATGGAATAGCAGCTATTACATACTTAAAACAATGCTTTTAACAGTAACAAGGACAAAAATTTTAACACTGCACTTTATAGATATCAGAAGAGCAGAACCTACTAACAATCAATGATTGCTTTTTCTTCTTCTTCTTCTTTTTTTTTTTTTTTGTGGTACGCGGGCCTCTCACTGTTGTGGCCTCTCCCGCTGCGGAGCACAGGCTCCGGACGCACAGGCCCAGCGGCCATGGCTCACGGGCCCAGCCGCTCTGCGGCATGTGGGCTCTTCCCGGACCGGGGCACGAACCCGTGTTCCCTGCATCGGCAGGCAGACTCCCAACCACTGCGCCACCGGGGAAGCCCCAATGATTGCTTTTTAAAAAAGAGAATGTGGAAGGAGACCTTCAAGATGGCGAAGGAGTAAGACATGGACATCACCTTCCTCCCCACAAATACATAAGAAATATATCTACATGTGGAACAAAATACTACAGAATACCTACTGATCGCTGGCAGAAGACCTCAAACTTCCCAAAATCTGGGTGGCTGACAGGATCTTGGTCCTCTGGCCAGGTGTCAGACCTGTGCCTCTGAGGTGGGAGAGCTGAGATCAGGACATTGCTCCACCAGAGACCTTCCGGCTCCATGTAATATCAAATGGCAAAATCTCTCCCAGAGATCTCCATCTCAATACTAAGACCCAGCTCCACTCAACTGTCTCCAGCACTGTAGCACCAGCAAGCTAAAGTGCTGGACCCCCTAGGCCAAACAACTGGCAAGACAGGAACGCAACCCCACTCACTAGCATAAAGGTTGCCTAAAATCATAACAAGGTCACAGAAACCCTAAAACGCACCACTGGATGCAGTCCAGCCCACCAGAAAGATAAGATCCAGCCTCATCCACCAGAACACAGGCACCAGTCCCCTCCACCAGGAAGCATACAAAACACACTGACCAACCTTAGCCACTGGAGGCAGACACCAAAAGCAATAGGAAGTACAAAACTGAAACCTGCAAAAAGGAAACCCCAAACACGTTGGGTTAATCAAAATGAGAAGAGAGAGAAACACACACCAGATGAAAGAACAAAATAAAAACCCACCAGACCAAACAAACGAAGAGGAAATAGGCAGTCTACCTGAAAAAGAATTCAGAGTAATGATAGTAAAGATATCCAAAATCTTCGAAACAAAATGGAGAAAAAATAAGAAATGTTTAACAAGGACCTAGAAGAACTAAAGCACAAACAAATGATGAAGAAACCAAATGAAATTAAAAATTATCTAGAAGGAATCAATAGCAGAATAACTGAGGCAGAAGAATGGATAAGTGACCTAGAAGATACAATACTGGAAATAACTACTGCGGAGCAGAATAAAGAAAAAAGAAAGAAAAGAATTGAGGACAATCTCAGAAACCTCTGGGACAACATTAAATGCAACAACATTCAAATCATAGGGGTCTCAGAAGAAGAAGAGAAAAAGAAAGGGACTGAGAAAATATTTGAAGAGATTATAGTTGAAAACTACCTTAATAAGGAAAAGGAAATAGTCAATCAACTTCAGGAAGTCCAGAGAGTTCCATAGAGGATAAATCCAAGGAGAAACACACCAAGACACATATTAATCAAACTATCAAAAATTAAATACAAAGAAAAAATATTAAAAGCAGCAAAGGAAAAATAACATACAAGAGAATCCCCATAAGGTTAACAGCGGATCTTTCAGCAGAAACTCTGCAAGCCAGAAAGGAGTGACAGGACATATTTAAAGAGATGAAAGGGAAAAACCTACAACCAAGATTACTCTACGCAGCAAAGATCTCATTCAGATTCCATGGAGAAATTAAAAACTTTACAGACAAGCAAAAGCTAAGAGAATTCAGCACCACCAAACCAGCATTACAACAAATGCTAAAGGAACTTCTCTAGGCAGGAAAAACAAGAGAAGGGAAGGACCTACAATAACAAACCCAAAACAATTAAGAAAATGGTAACAGGAACATACATATTGACAACTACCTTAAATGTAAATGGAATAAATGCTCCAACCAAAAGACATAGGCTGGCTGAATGGATACAAAAACAAGACCTGTATATATGCTGTCTACAAGAGACCCATTTCAGACCTAGGGACACATACAGACTGAAAGTGAGGGGACGGAAAAAGATATTCCATGCAAATGGAAATCAAAAGAAATCTGGAGTAGCAATTCTCATTTCAGACAAAATAGACTTTAAAATAAAGACTATTACAAGTGACAAAGAAGGACACTACATAATGATCAAGGAATCAATCGAAGAAGAAGATATAAAAACTGTAAATATTTATGCACCGAACATATGAGCACCTCAGTACATAAGACAAATGCTAAGAGCCATAAAGGGGGAAATCGACCGTAACACAGTCATAGTAGGGGACTTTAACACCCCACTTTCACCAATGGACAGATCATCCAAAATGAAAATAATTAAGGAAACACAAGCTTTAAATGATACATTAAACAAGATGGACTTAATTGATATTTATAAGACATTCCATCCAAAAACAACACAATACACTTTCTTCTCAAGGGCTCATGGAACAGCTTCCAGGAGAGATCATATCTTGGGGCACAAATGAAGCCTTGGTAAACTTAACAAAATTGAAATCATGTCAAGTACCTTTTCCGACCACAACTCTATGAGATTAGAAAACAATTACAGAAAAAAAATTTGTAAAATATACAAACACGTGGAGCTAAACAATACACTACTAAACAACCAAGAGATCACTGAAGAAATCAAAGGGGAAATCAAAAACTACCTAGAAACAAATGACAATGAAAACACGATGACCCAAAACCTATGGGATGCAGCAAAAGCAGTTCTACGAGGGAAGTTTATAGCAATACAATCCTACCTTAAGAAACAGGAAACATCTCAAATAAACAACATAACCTTACACCTAAAGCAATTAGAGAAAGAAGAACAAAAAAACCCCAAAGTTAGCAGGAGGAAAGAAGTCATAAAAATAAGATCAGAAATAAAGGAAAAAGTAGATTAATTAAATTAATTAAACTTAATTAAATTAATTAAAAGATTAATAAAACTAAAAGCTGGTTCTTTGAGAAGATAAACAAAATTGACAAAGAATTAGCCAGATTCATCAAGAAAAAAAGGGAGAAGACTCAAATCAACAGAATTAGAAATGAAAAAGGAGAAGTAACAACTGACATTGCAGAAATACAAAGGATCATGAGAGATTACTACACAGAACTATATGCCAATAAAATGGACAATGTGGAAGAAATGGACAAATTCTTAGAAAAGCACAAGCTTCCAAGACTGACCAGGAAGAAATAGAAAATATAAACAGACCAATCACAAGCACTGAAATTGAAACTGTGATTAAAAATCTTCCAACAAACAAAAGCCCAGGACCAGATGGCTTCACAGGTGAATTATATCAAACATTTAGAGACGAGCTAACACCTATCCTTCTCAAACTCTTCCAAAACATAGCAGAGGGAGGAACACTCCAAAACTCATTCTATGAGGCCACTATCACCCTGATAGCAAAACCAGACAAAGAGGTCACAAAAAAAGAAAACTACAGACCAATATCAATGATGAACATAGATGCAAAAATCCTCAGCAAAATACTAGCACACAGAATCCAGCAGCACATTAAAAGGATCATACGCCATGATCAAGTGGGGTTTATCCCAGGAATGCAAGGATTCTTCAATATATACAAATCAGTCAATGTGATACACCATTTTAACAAACTGAAGGATAAAAACCACATGATAATCTCAATAGATACAGAAAAAGCTTTCAACAAAATTTAACACCCAT